AAACGATGCCAACAGTGCTAGCAAAGAAAACTCATCTTTGATGTGAGATGAACTAGATAAATTACTATATCTGAAGGAACAGAAATGGCAGCTCTTCAGGTATAACATTTTAATAAAATGTATTTGATTATGGCATATTGACTGTCTCAGGTTGCAGTCTTTTCACTACTTCTGTTTCTTAACAGTGGCAGATTGTTTTACCATGCAAAACCAGTATTCCCCAATAAACAGTGAGCACTCCAACATAATGCTGGTACAGTGCATGCTCTTTTATTATTCCAGAGCTTCTGCTCGTCTCTTTCTCTTTTGTATTCAGTCTGCAGCCTCTGTCTGTATCTCTATAACCTAAGTGATTGTTTTGACAGTCAAGGGCACCTTCACTAATACATACATTTGAAAGATAAATTAAGCCACCTCTAATCAAAGCAGCCACAAAAGACCATGCTACCAGTAAGTAAAGCAGTTATTTTGTACTTTAACAATATCATTTCAGACATTTTCACGTCCAAAACATTGTTCAAATAAAAATGTAGCTCATTTTGTGTATTGATTTATTCAGAATTAAAAACATTACAAAAATATTTTTTAACTTACACATTAGAAATGATTTTGTCAGTGGCAATTAAACGTTCTCCCCCTTCACCTAAAGGAATGTGAAATTCTTTAATCAGACACCTTGATGCAGCGGTTCTGTATTTATTTTCTTTAGATTCCATGATTTGACGGGTCACCGTGTTCATTTTCTGAAGAAGGAAATATAAATAAGCAAGACCCTGGAAGCTCAGATATGCTCTAAGCAGCAAAAACAGAAAATGAAGCCGGCCTCTCAATACAGCGCAGCATGCCCTCCTTATATAGAGCACTTCAGAAAACGCAAAATAGCTTGGGAGTGTCAGTCATTTCATCTATGTGCCAATTTAGCAGAGCCCATCTCTGAAATCCAACACTCGGCCACCCTGGCCACCGTTACTTCCCCCACCTCATTCTTGCCGCATAATCAATTTCTTTGACTGCATAGTATTCCGCTCACATCCCAACGGCTACGAAAGCCTACTTTAAATCAGGGACAGGGCAGCTGCCAGAATCTGGAGCAGCTAAAAATAAAGTCACAGCAGAATCAGTCTTCCTCAGCCTGAAGCCTCCGAGGATAAGGCTTTCTCTGTCTCCGCGATAATCACGCAGACACCTCCAGCCTCAGCAGCACCCATTATCACAGTGTTATTTTCACACGGCAGTAATATCACTTTCCGGCACACAAAGTGTCTTCCCTTTTATCTTAAATAAGCTGATGCTGTGACCCAGAGGCATGCCTAAGGAGGTAAGGGCTGTGATTCGTACCTCTGTGTATTACCGTGATCCCCCAATGGGGGTAATTAGGGTTAGGGTAAAGCCTAGACAGTATGTAAAAGCATAGTTCTTATTTTAGATGTTCTTCCCCTCAATGTCTATCATAAAAACTGAGGAACTAGGGAGCATGGTCGTGTAGCCTCCTTGGGGAAAATGTCAATTTCTCAATGTCCTCAAAATTTTCCTCAAAGTTTTAACTTCTGTTTACCTTCACACACAAAAAGATCGAGCTTCACTGTAATTTCACTGTACGTGCATTAGAAAGAGCAAAACAAATATTTAAATCTCACTGAAGGGCAGAAGCACATAACTTCTGATAACAGAACCCTCTGTCCTTATTTTATATTCCCTGGGGGGGGGGGGGAACTCTCAATATAAAAATATAATTCTCTGCCTGTAAAGTTGTAAAATGTTGTTTTGCTAAACCGAGTCTGGAAGGAAACTGAAGTGCTGCACTTGTAAGCTGGCAGGAACAACCTGTCATTTTCCTACCAGTCCGGATCACCAATAGTCTCTTACTGTGCAGCACTAACTCACTTGCCTTTAAAACCAGACATTTTTTTTCTCTCCAGGAGGTGTACATTTACCTTTGTCTTAACCGCCTTTTAAGATTCACACATGGCTAATTCTGAATCAGCCACCTTATGTCTATCGGTAACTCCTGACTTCATAGCCTCAAGCAACAAATCCGTTTCCCATGCACACTGCTATGCAAATACACTTGGCAATTACTCGAACAAAGCAGAAATTGTATGCAGCCATTCATCTTTCAGGCCCTGCAGGAGCTTGATGACAGTACAGGATTGTTGGTGTGACTTACAGCAACAGCCATGTTACATGTGCCAATCACAATCTCCTCTGTGAGGCAGCCAGTGGAAAGGAGGCTGTGTCACATGACTGTCTAGTCGAGTAATCAGTCAACTGCAGTTAATTCCATCTACGTCCACATGCTAGGAAAGTCCCTAAGCTGTCCCATCATGCTTTTCCTGGCTGTGCTTTCAGAAGTAAGCTCAAGCTGTACACGAAGATCAAGGCATGGGAGGGGATAAAAAACATTCAGCTTGAAATGAAACTTCATTCAACTCAGGGTGCAAATGCTAACATCACATAATCACAGATTTATTAAACTCCTATATGATTACGGAACGATTAAGATAGAACAGGCAACCAAGAACGGAAAAAGGATACAATACAAAAGATTCAGAGTACAAGGCAAATGTTTTGTTCACAATGTCTCTTGCACCCTAGAGTTATTCTTGCTGTCCACTGTGAGGTCAAAACTCAGTGGCTTTTGCCTAACCTTATATGCATGTTATGCATAGTGCTGCATTTTCAAATTTCTATGACTTTTTGATGGCTACATTATAGTTGTTCAGAATGTATATTTCACACACAAAATGAATCGGAACGTTGACATTTGTCACTGTTTTGAAGACTCCCGGCGAGCGCGAAAACCATTTAAGAGACCTTAAAAAAGTAATATAGTGTGAAGACTAAGCAAATCCCTATTTATTAAATCCTCATTTAATTAATAGACCAAATAAAATGTATCTAAGACCTGAAAGTATTTTGATGCCACCTTTCTTTCCTCCTGTAAGTCAGACACTTACTTACCTGTGACAGCAGAAGGAGCAGCTCAGAAAAACACTGCTAAACATCCTTCCTTTCAAAAACGTTTCCTAGTTTGTTTTCCATACTAAATAATCTGACAATCTGCATTAAAACATTAAAACAGACATAGCTGAACTTTTAGCAGTAAAGATCTATAGTACAAGTTCAATGATCTAGCTGGTAAGAATTGTGAAAAGGAAGGATATTGTTTCACTCCTAAACTGTTTGGAACATTAAAATTGATACCACCATGAAACAGAAAGAAAAAACTATTTCAATTAGTCTCTCCTAATCAATATACCACCAGATACATATTGATTAAGATGTGTATACCCATACCAGCATTAAGGGCTTGTAATTAAGTAACTATGTTTATCCTAAGTAAGGATCAGCCTAAACTGGTAAAAAAAAAGACAATGACAGCCAAAAGCATTACAAATCTTTAAAAGACTAGAAGAACACAGTGTACATATTTTCCCAACTGAAATGAAATTATATTTATATTTGATAACATTGTTTAAATGATTTGTATATTTAAATAGAAGGCAGACATTGACAACATTAAAGTTTTACATAATATTTAACAGTATATAAAATGGCTTTTAAACTATTTTCATAGCTTATATCCATTGGAAGCAATTTTCCACTTGCCTTCCTGCAGAAACTGAGTTTATCTCTCAAGTTAAACATTATGCTTTTCCATGTAAACAAATGTCAACGGAAATAGTTTTCTGTTTAGAGCAAAGTTGCCTAAGAGCTTTCAGTTGAACTCAGTGAACTGTGACAGGCAGGTGACTTTTGAAACAACTTTTGGCATTTTAGAAAGTTCCATTTCTGATCTTGCATTTAAAGCCACAGATTAAACATTTAAAAAGACATACAGGTGCCATTTTCTTCAAGAACACCCCTTCCACATAATAAAAAATTGAGGATCGTTAATAATCCTGTCATCTTTAAAACTTTTCCTATCTCCAGCGTTCACCTTGGGCAGCGACTACGGGTAAAAAGATAAAAAACTCAGCTGTATGAAATGTTGCCATTAAACTGTTTACAATATAGTGGTAATAACATTACTATGTCTATTTGTTTTCACAAGTAATAACACCACAGAGGAGAATCAGGAAAATTCTAATTAGCCACTAAAAGGGTAATGATCAGCGATACATGCAGAACATATCACTCGATAATGATAAGTCTGAAAGGAATCAGCTTGTGTCACCAGCCTGATTACTTAACACCTATCACTGCAGGTGTTTGCACTGATCCACAACAACCTACTGTTACACTTTATCTTTAATTTATCTAAAATGGCCATCTTATAAAACTTTTATAGATTAAAAATATCACAGAATTGACTGAAAAGCAAGTCACACCTTCACTCTCAATCTATTTATTTTAGTAGTCTCTTTGTTATCTAAAAACATCTACATGTGCTAACTAAACAAAATCAAGATTCTGCACTAAAAAGTTTAAACCTCCTGAGTTACATTACTAGCTTATACAAAAAGTGTTAGTGTTGACTTTAAAGTTGCCCAAGTAGCTTAAGAACCACTCTCTCACTGGACTGGTTCTGTCTTTAATATTCTGCCCTGTCCAGAAGAACTCACATCTCAACACCTCACCTTGAGAAAACACAGACCTGCTTACAGAGAATGAAAATAAAAAAGAACAGTCTGGAGTCTGATTATGTGGAAAATACAGATGTATTTCAAATAGATACAATCACTAGGACAGGACCGGATTCCTTCCCTGGCATGTTTTGGGCTACTGAAAATGTAGATCTTCATCTGGGCTTCGTAAACACCAGGCGTTTTAGTTATTTCTTTAACTTTAAATGAACTTAATGGCAAGATTGTTAGCATAGGTGAGTGGGAAGAAAAGCCCATAACAGTAACTCCTTAATACTGACTGTGCATTCAGGCTTTTTGCCAAGACTTTTGACACAATTCTGTTAACATGCTATCCACTGTGCTGAACACTGCTTACCTGGTGCACCACATTAGGTAATGCACGTGCTGAACAAACCAACCACTCACCAAGTGTTAATATCAATTGAATTTATTACAATTTACTCAGCTCCAAGGCACGTTACAGTCTTCTGTTACTACAGAAATGGATAAACAAACAGAGCATGTTCATGTACAGCATTTTGCTCTACTTTTAAGCATCCGTGCATCGATAAAGCAAAAGAGGAGCGAAAACAAGAAAAATATGAAAATCAAAACAGGTAGTTTAAAAAAAAAAACACAAGGTAAAAATGAGACATTGCCCTAGTAAATATTACAAAACAAAAAAGAAGGAACAAAAATCAAAATACCCCCTTACCTCTGCAAACAACAAAGTGAGACTGAGACCAGGGCTTCATAAACATATTTCAACAATTCGTTTGCACTTTGTAAGTGTAGACACTGGCCTTGGTAATCTAGAGAAGTGCATGATTTTACAAAACAAACAAAAAAAATTAAAAACTAAAACGTTAGCAGCAGTAATTGCCAAGTGCTTTAACTCTGGACCTAGCCAACGCACTGCCACCGAAATAAAAACAGTTATGCAGTAACCAGTCAATAACTTCTGTTTAACAAAACAGCTTCATCCTTCAAATGAAGTGTACATACCTTCTGTTTCAAAATATAGAAACATACGACGAAAATAATGTCTGTACATAAGACTAATTTTGTCCGTTTGCAATATTCACAACGTGTATATATATATATCTCATTTCTTCTTCAGAATTTCTAAGGGTCTCTCTCTTTTTTCACTTTGACGTCCCCAGCCAAGATGGTTGCTATCTCCCCTTGCATAAACGCCCAAGGCACGTTTGAACCCACCAGGGGACACTTCTCTCCGCTCGGGCAATACACCTCGCCCGTTGCCCCCTGTGCCTTGATGCTTTCCCGAGAGCAGGGGAAGCAGAACTTGTGGTTAGGGACCGAGGGGCACTGGACGAAGTGCGTATCTTCCAATCGTTCGTGACAAATGGTGCAGCACAGCGGGCCGCTGTTGGCCATGGGCGAGTCCGGAATGTTTTGAGGGTGGACTTGATCCATGCCAGGGTGGCTGCTGGGGGGTGGGGGCGCCCCGGCAAGGTTCATGTCCCCATTGCGCGACGCCAGGCGCCGCTGGCCGGGTATGGAGGCTGGAGAGACCGGGCTGCTGCTGTTGTGCCTGGCGGACGTCGTGGAGTGGACCGAGCTCCCGTCCTTCGGAGAGTGGGCATTGCCCAGGGTGTCCGCCACCGACATCAGCGCCGCCATCGGCGACTGCCCGTTCTGGGGGGCGCTCTCGGGGGGGGTGGTCCGGTTGGAATGCGCGGGGTGGCCGGGTCCCAGGGGCGGGGGTCCCCCGTGCGCGGCGCCGAACCCCCCGGCCGTCATGGTCAGCTTCAGCGCCTCGCTCTGGCTCGCCATCCACTGCTGCCGCTGCTGCTCCTCCGACAGCTTGAGCGCCCCGTCGGCGGAGTCGGGCTCCGGGGACGCCTTCCTCTTGCGCATGCCGGCCCGGGGCGCGCTGGCGGCCGGCCCGGAGCGCTGCAGGCTGACCAGGGCCGTGGGCAGCAGGGGGCAGCTGGCGTCGATGTAGGGCTGCGGCAGCATCTCGGAGCCCAGCGCCTCCTTGAAGAAGCGGACCGACTCCGGCAGCAGGTCGCCCAGAAGCCGCCAGTCCCCCGAGCCGTGTTTCTTCTCGTACTCCAGGTACTTGAAGCCGGAAGAAAGTCCCCGACCAAAATCTTTCATGCAGTCCTGGTACATCTGTTTAGCCACTCCCGACGCGCTGGAAAACACGTTACCAGATCCACTGGGGTACTCGATGAATATTTTCAACTCGTAGTCCATTCCTGGCTTGGAAACGGCGTCAAAAGCGAACACCCTACCTACCAGCGAGTGGTCCTTCTTGAACCTCACGTCGAAGGGGGTGCAGTTCGACAGCGTGATTAAAGTCTCCCTCACGATCTTGGGCTTGTTCGCCCAGTCCTCGGACCGATTCCTCAAGCTCTCGCTGAGCTCCGCCAGGGCTTCTGCGCTCCGCTGCTTCTCCTTCAGGTCCCTCTCCTGGTCCGTGCTGGACACGGAGCCCGGTCTCTTCCCCACGTCGGACATGGACTGGGTGGCCATGGCCAGGGCAGGTCCCAGGCTGGTGGGAGGCGGCGGCGGTCGGCTCGCCAGCCCATGCGGGGCGATGGCCGCAGCCGCAGATGGGCCATTCAGCAGGGTCTGGGGGAGAAGATTGGGAGGCACGTTCATCTGGCCGGGGACGGCCACCATTCCGTGATTCCTGCGAGAGTTGGGGCTCTGCCTGTTGAGCTCCGGGGGACCATCGTCCGGTTTCGGGAAGCCGTTTGGACCGCTCAGGCCGTTCGGGAGCCTGCCAGCGTGGGCGCCAATGGCCGGATAGTCAAAACGGGGTCTCTCGGCGTTCAGCGAGTAGCGATCCAGCCCTGCTTGCGGCTGTTTAGACGAGCCGTCCACATGGTTCAGCTGCACCGTCTCCTTGGACGACAGAGCCGCCTGGGCTTTCACGGTCGGCGGCGGCGGCGGTCCGGGGGATCTCCCGTCCTGGAAGCCATGAGCGCGCTTCAGCTGGCGGGCGGTCTCGATCACAAACTCGATCCGATCGGCGCCTTCGTAGTTCACGCATCCCCTGCAGACTGGCTCGGTAAAATCCCAAATCATAGCCCACGGCATGCGGGGCAAATCGCAGAGGTAGCACGACTGTCTCCTGGAAGATGAGACTTGTGCAGAAGACATGTTGATTGCCCGTTTCGCTCCCCTTTTTTTTTTTTGTTGTTGTTGTTGCTGCCGCTGCTGCTGCAAGTCTCAGTCCGTGTTGCTTTCTCGGGAAATCCTCCTTTTCGGCCCCGCTGTGTGCACACAACCGCTCTTCCCTCTCTTGATCTCCGGTACCGTGTGAAATGTGTGTGACTGGGGTTCTGAGCTTGCAGGTTTCACATTTACAACACGCGCGCCTCACATTCTGACTCGAAATTCTGATTTTGAATTCTGATTGTGACTCTACGCTCTCTCTCCACTTGGAATGCCACCTGGCTGGGGCCGTGACGTCAGCACCACGCTCCGCAGTTCCTCTCACAAACTGACATGCCACTTGTTGCTCTCCGACGGCGCATGCTCCAACCCCTCCCCTCCGCGTTGTAAATGGCTTTACTGCACAGAAATCGATCAGGTTTAAAAACGGGGCACTGCTGACAGTCTGCTATGTGCAGCATTGCCCTCTCTTAATTCCCGGCAAGCTCCCAGAGAAAGGCATTAATATCGCATTGTAGCTTCAAAATGTTACCGTTCTCCTGAATGGTAGAGTGGCATTCGCAATAAGGCGTGCACAAAGAAATACAAGTTCTATTTTGCTTACATCAGCAATATTACTGTACTACTACGGGCTCCGGAAAAAGGGAAGGTGAACTTTTATCATTTACTTTCTTTTGCGAGGCCGGCATCGTTGTCTGAATGTGCTGTTTCTCTCGACCTACACGCATATGTGTTTGCATGCTCGCCGTATGTAGGGCTGGTGTACACCTCCACGAGCAAGCAGGTTAGAATAAAAACAGCCCGTTTTGTCGTTCGTCCCCCTCGATCTTGTTCTTAGAGCCCGCTGTAGCCAAAGCAGATGTTCCCCGGGCAAAAGCAATCTGTCTAGCTGCTAGACGCTGACGTCACCGAGATTGTATTTCAGATCTCTTTGGAATAAACAGAGCCGCCTGCATGTTGCACAGAAGCACGACTGGACTGTGCTGAATGATTTTTCCATGCATCGCTACCGACGTCCTTTGAAAAATAAACATATTACCTATATATAACACAGCGGTTTATACGAAAGCTTTATTAATGACCTTAATCTTAAATGCAAAGAAGTCCACATGTATAGGCTTTTAGGAATGCATGCTTAGCGAGATCTGCGCTCAGCAGTATCTGACCTGTGTAACACTTCCTAAATGAAATCGTATACGACTATTGTCGAAAAATAACAGACTGCATATTGCATAAATCCACACACCTTTATTATGGTATAGGAACGCTATAACATGCGTTCTAGGTATGAAGATTTCTGAGAAAATAACCTGGTAAAAAGAGGTGTCTTGTTACTAATAAATGTACTATAACAAGTTAAGTGATTGCAAGTTTACGTCGATGTTGATCCATAAATCAAAGTGAGAACGTTTAAGCAAATGCACTGTAGCTGCAAGCACTGCAGCAGAATATTAACACATTCATCCAAACCCTTCACACGTACTGTGAAATGAGAGTTTTGCATGCGCTGTAGCACCTCGAGGTGCCTCGGCTGCTATAAAGCGGATTTTAAAAAAACCTCGCACCAAGTACGGTCTCGGTTCACGTTTAGTTTAAGAAGGGATAGGCAAACTCTTGTACCAGTATACAGCAAACAGATTAACCAAAGTTTTAATTCAAGTTCAGACTCCCGAGAGGTTTAGAGGGAAAGCGAGACTGGTGACGAAGGCTCCCACGTTTGACTTCTTTGGCATCGAGAGTGCGCATTTCCAAGAAGTCGGGTATTGGCAATAACAATGTACCGTGGCCGGAGGACAGGCCGTCACCCGCGGGTCGGGCTCTGTTCTCGGCCGGACAGCTGTCTGCTAAATCCGGACACATTCTGTCACACGTCCGCGCTGTGTCGAGAAAAGTGCTCTCGGACGAAAAACAAGAAACGAATAAATGTTACGCGTTGTTTGATACCCCTAAACCGGTTCACTGGCTCGTGTAAAACGTGTTCAAAAACTCAATCATCCACAACACAAAACGATGTTTCGAAAGCAATTAGCTTCGCAGGCCTACATTATAACGGGAGAGACGAAACTGGTTAACGAACACTTCTACTCGAGCTCAGCTGAACAACACATTTTAAAAAACCTTCTGTGTGCTTCAAGCAAAGAGGCACGTCAACTCTGTTCTTCAAAGCGTTTCACCTAGGAGCCTGTGGACAGAATCGACTTTTTTATCTACAGAGAAAAATGAAAGCAGCAGTACAGTTCAATGATTCATTACAATTCGGGCAAAAGGAATGAGATTTAACCCAGTGAAAAGCCCTTATTTTGCAGCTGTTCAGAAAAGTTCCAACACATTTGTTTCGACCAGCATCTTTGCTCTCAGTGACGTGCATGCTTTATATATTTTTTCAAGCGTCAATTGTAGTAAACAAGCTTTTTATTATGAACACAGCCTCCCTCTCTTCCTGCATCCTCACAGAAGAAATGGATCTGTCCCACGGGCTGTCTCCATGTGTTTTCGTGACTGCAGACGCTAGCTTAAAATCTGCCAAACATTAGGTTCGTTCAGACATGCTGGATTCCCTGACTCACTGACTGTTTACCTAAATGCACAGCCAAGAGTAGCCCCTTCTCCTGGCCTCTGCCACTGATTAATAACACTTGGGAAATGGAACAAAACTTTCCCCTGTTATACAACTGTAAGGGAGAGGTGGAAAAAAACTAAAGGACAGGACAAAGAGAAAGGAAGATTATTTATTGCACTTACTGCATACCACATAAACAGAGTGTATGCTGCTGAAGCAAAAGAAACCAAGTATGGCTAGAGATCTTTTCAACAAAAGCCTTTTGCCTTTTTTCCCCTCTGCTCTGCGCACAGAAACTGTGAAGAGAAGCACGCTACTATGGCATTGCTCATCATATCTTTTAGTGTTAATGAATCTTTAGGAGATTTAGTAAAACGTGTTACACGAGTTCCCAAAGAACACAGGGGACATATAAACTAAACTTCTAATTAAAACTAGACATAAAACTTCACTAAAAGACGTTATACATCATTTGAAGGTGTTCCACAATCTCCATGTAAGGTCATTTAAGGCTTTTTATTATTTATTCATCACTTGCTTTGCTAAAACATACGTAAAAGCAGACTTACAGTATGTTAATGCCTTTCATTATTTATTTTATACATCACCTCACAGCCCAACATGATAGCTGATGGCTTACAAGTAAAAATGTAAGTGTTCATTCACTGCACAAATGTGATATCCAACACTTCCAATTTAAATTTCAAAAGGCCTTCCACACAAGGTTAGATAAAGGCAAGAAAAGGGCCTTAAACTTGCTCCAGACGTCAAAATGTAACAATGAAATTTGAGAGCAAGGGACAAAGATTAGTAAAAAATATTGAGCGTGTGGTACAGTTAAGAAAGGAAGAAAATCTCATATCAACAGTTCTGGCTTGAAAACACATCCTTTCTTTGGAATTAGTGCCAGACAGCTTTCCTGAGCTTGTTCCAGCTGCTGGAGCTGCAGACAATTTTCAGTCTATTTGTACTTGAAGCTTGTGACTAGTCCGGGAAAATGAAGCAGACGCCCTTGATCTCAGTACAGATTGAAAAAAAAAATATATGTTTGTGCCAATTATCCTAACACTAATAATAGATCCCTCTATTCACTGGCTAAGCAGCTATTTCACATAAAAACAATAAATAATAAGTCTAAATACAAATCTCATTAAAATCTTTAGGTCACTGAGACAGCAAGGGATCTTTGCAAACTCAGCCTTTGTTAAGCCTCTTATGATAATAAAACATTCCCCATTTCAAATACAGGAATAAGAATAGTACAAAAATCAATCACTGTGTATTGTTTTGCATCTGTACTACATATACCCTATACTGTATAAAATGCTACATGGACACTCGCAATAGTAACTGCTGTTTGACACTGGGAAGGGTTCATATATACATGTACTTCAGCTCAGAAAGCTGAACGGAATTCTCCTTTCTCTTTATAACCTGGCTACACAAACAAAGAAAGCCCAATCACGCTGCCTCCATCTAACCAAGCCATGGGAAAATGTGAATGTTTTTTTTATTCTCTGACTCGATGCCCCCACCCTGTCCCATTCCCATTGTGTTGCCTCTTCCCCCTGCTCGTTTGTGACACTATCCATGTGGAAAATTTTCAGCTCGCCGCAGTCAATCGCAGGGGTTAATTTTTAGCTTCCGCTAAGCACTTGGGCGACTGCCAAGCGAATGCATTCTGGGAAATGAAAAGCCTGCCAAGTACAAACTGGCAGCATTAAGCAGTCCTGACAGTTCTGCTCCTTCTAAACTTGGCAGCGGTTCAAAGTGCTCTTTCATTTGAAATGTTGGATCCCTGCCATGTGCATGCAGATTTACTTTACCTACTCTCATAAGGAACTGATAAATGCCGTTGCAGTTGCCATGGAGATAAGAGGCTATCAGAATGGCCTTGTGATCTAGCCTCTCCGTTCTGATCTTTCTTTTTTTTTTTTCCCTTTTTGACAGCGGAATAAAAAGTTCTGAAAACCTTAACCCTTTGTGGCAAAGTTTTCAGGAAAAACTTAGCTAAAAAAAACAAACATGTCAGATTGCTGTTTGAAAAATAGGAACAGCTTTAACCTATATTTAACCTAAGACTGAAATGAAGCGTGAACCTAATAGTGGGTCACACATAATTCCTTTTAAACTGATGTCCAAAGTACTGTTATTATTAGTAAGGTCAACAAAAAGCCAAAGACTATATTCTTTATGTCACACTGCCAAAGTGGGCTGCAGTATGAGCCGTTTTCCGCTACCCATTTTAAGTTTCTCTTCAAGACGTTCAGGGTACTGCTAGATGAGATTCTCACAGCTCGTGTTTTTGATAAGCCTTCACACAAACACTGGGCAAGTACGCAAGTAGTATTAGAAACAGGGTGTTTAGGTCTGACCTGCTGAAGTTCATCAGCACAGCTGCAGTCTGCTCACGGCTGTTTCAGCAGGGAGAGCAGAGGGAGACAATTAAAAATGCACAAAGCAGTCCCATGGAAGTCGCATTTCTGCTCTTAGTAAGGCACATATGGTTTTATATCTTTGAAAATGGAATCCCCACGTTCACATTTTCCTAAAAAGTTTTCCGAATTATTTAGATTGCAGGGCTGAAAGCTTACATCATGAAATCCAAAAAGTCTTCCCAGACTGGTTCATGTCCGCTGACAGCCTCTAGTGTCTGTCTAATTAAAGCTAAGCTTATTATGTAACCAGCACAGGGAGAGACATAGCTCAAACAACATAAAAAATAACCATCCGTCCTGGACGCAACCTATTTTCCTCTGTGCTGCAACGTCCTTTATTAATAGACTTTGATCCAATGAGCTCCCTCAATGCTAAAGTCAAAGACACCAACTGAGCAAAATAATTAAAAAAAACAAAACAAAAAAGGCATAGCCAATGACCAGTAAATCAGGACCCCTTAATCTTAGACAAGAATACTGTGAGCTGGTGTCTTTGGTGAGCTGGTCAAAGCATGGAGGGTGAAGAGCAGATTCTGGTTGTGGTCCCAGAAATCCGCAGGGACAGACTGACCGAACAGGATGTTGGGTTACTGCAGTTTATGTCTTCCAGATATTTTAGACAGCAAGACCCAGAATAAAAAATAAATAAACAGCGAAGAGACTGGTGATACACTTCAGAGAACTTCACCGTTTCTGATTCACATTCAGCATTCTGGAAGTTTTTAACTCTTCCTCCATGATAGAATAAACAACCATATCACCAAGCAATAAAAAATCAGAAATCCCAATATCCCGTCAGTCCCAACCCGTGATATGAACATTTTTTTACCTGTTTCTCTCTGTATAGCTGCCTCCTGTTGCCATGGTAACACTCCTTCCCCGTGCAGATTGTAATCCCTGGGTATTCAGTATCTCCTCCAAAAGCCTCCCACTTCCTGTAGTGGCAGAGAGATTTACAATGAGGTTCAGACATTTGCTACAGTAAACATTTATAGCTGGGTGTATGAAAATGTAGATCAAATAAGTCACTGTTTACTTTTGTGTCCATACTATTTCAGAGCTGAATGACTTCTGTCTGGGGAACTAAACTTTCAGTCCCTTAGACTGTAAATATTCTGAAATAAAAAGTACACTCTACACATGTAGATCATAAAAAAACTTTTACAGGTCACCTTCCAAACAGAAACATGACTACTGTATAATCTGAGGAAACATACACTTGAAATATAAACATCGCATTTGTGCCCTTGTACATTTTCCCCTGGCAAATATTTTTCAAGTAAATCAGTGATCAAAAGGAATCTTCCATTCTGCTGCAGTATTGCTATGATTCATTCATGCAAAATATTAATTCATCTGCAGAGCCATCACTTATTCACTATTTGGAAAACACCAAACATCTTGTAAGAAGATCAACACTTTCTAGCAGGAGTTTTTTTCTTAACTCATCGGGAACCAGGGATGAAAATATCATGACTCTCTATTTTAATAAAGGATAAAAATACTTCCACTTCAGGTAAAAATGACACATGAATAATAATAAACGTCTAAGATAATCACTGGAAAATATTGATGCGTTAAGCAGTAATGCTGTGATTTGTAACACCCCCTAACCTAGCATTAGGAGCAAAACTAGTATTATATGAAAGAGGCTTAGAATGAAGCTGTGCATCTCTAATATACCCACCATACAAATATGGTTACTGTGTCCTAATCAGACAAAGAAAACTGATGTTGTAGCTTGCAAGCGAATTTTAACAGTGGAACAATGTATCACTGTAATGAGTTTTAAAAGCAAACTTTATCTTCCTAAAAATCCGTTTGCATCTTGGATGCGTAATTAAAAGAATCATAAGCAAATGCTTGTACAAAAGGTCAGATGGAATTCTTAATTTTGTGGGTTTTTTTTTCTTAACTATGTTTAATTATATTTGTCCTGGAAGTTCCGGAAAAAAACATATATTTTTATTTGGCTTTTAATAGCTATTTGGATTTCGTGTTAATAACCAGTTATGTGCCAATGAGGAATACCAAAACACATTTCAGAGAGTTCCAAGGCGTGTTCATTTTAACCTGGCACAGTTCTAACTCACAGAGAGCAGTGGATAATTACTACAGTCTCCCAGAATACATTACAGGAAATACAGTGCAAAGAATGTAAAGTGCCTCAAGCAATATTTCTAACGGTGAAAAGGGCATAGCTGTTAAAACATTAATTCAACGGGGCACAGTCCAGAAATCCCTTCCCAGCTTCCAAATCAATACAGAAAATGTGCAAGGATCCAAAACAAATGTCATTTCATTCCAAAGAGGAATAAATTCAGAGCTGTACAGAGGACTACACGGACTTCAGCAACATCTACAACAATAAGGCAAAAGAAACAAAAAGTAGAATTTTATTCTCGTTGAAGGCCCATCCAAAAACAACAGTCTGCCAGCGCCAAACAGATAGTGTACTCTAACCCAACATCATAATTTCCTCAGGTCACAGAACCACAGCATCCTGTCAGGGGGCCCTCCTCCCACTGAAACAACACATGCCCAGAGAATGGAGGCTAAGCCAGGCTGGATCATTATCATCTCCGACAGCCCTTTTCCAGTTGAGCTGCAGAACGTGCAGTGCAAATGAATGTTTTCTTTTTCTTCATGAAAGGCAAGCTTTTTGCAGCCATTGCTTAAAATGAATGCCTAAGTTCTCCTACTTTCTGTCAGACACAACCTCCCAAGCTTTACATCTACCTGATACAGGGCCAGCTTAGCACCACATGATGAGGGCAGACACCACTATACCTCTCAGTACCACAGCTCATATTTAAGACTAAAATTAGTGGGGCATGGTGAAACACCCAGGTACTGTACATGCCTGGACTAGGAGGTACTCCACATTCAAAAGACATCAAAAGCATCTTCCAAAAGCTCATTTTACACACTTATACAAATATGCTTTGTTGACAGATCTTGGGAAGATTAATAGTTCATGTATTCATGTTACAGAGTTGACACAATGATGTATCAGGGAGAGAAATGAAATGGAAGCTTGCTATGCTAGACTAAAAAAAGAAAACCTGCTAATTAAATAGTTACACAAGAGCTGTAATCTTCCCCAGGTAATTATTTTCAGTGCTTCAGAAGGAGTGTGTCATACAAATCTTAGGAAATAACGCTAAAAATGCTACCGCTACTTGGCAAGCCTAGGCCATAAATTATCTGCTGTATTGCTTTATTTTACAATTGTGTAGTCTTTAGATAACAGCAAAACACAGATCACATATACATCTATTGTAAACAAAACCTCTCATTATTCTGCTTCAGCTCTTCAGAGCAAGAGCAACACTTCGACCGCTTACTTTCCACCTGACTCAGACTGCTGTTATTGGAAGACTTGAACAGAAAGTCTTTGCCAGGTATCCTGCTGTTTGTTTGCTTGGCTCTGTTTTCCTGCTGATGCTTTGCATTGTTTTCTTGCAAATTCAAATTGCCTTTTTCATACGGTGAGCAGCAAGGAGCAAACAGGATCCCAAGTTCATGGCTAAACACAGTGAAATTACTGCTTTTTTTAAATACTGCTTTAAAAAGTTCCTATGAACAAACAACAGCACTATACATAGGAGGCACAAAAGGCATTTTTACAGAACTCATATGTTCCCAAAGTTTCAATTAAAGAATAATTCTACTTTATGTAGAAACAAATATTAAACACATCGTCTTCCTTATAAATTGTTATTGGTGACCGGAGATCTTGTTCCTCTGGAATTGTATTATTCTGTGCTGTATCCAGAAAATTCATTATACAGTAGATAGAAATGTGAAAATGGATATAATGGACATGCTAAAAATAAATGGAGATACTGTATTTCATAGGTTTGACATTACGTTGGATTTCAAGGCAGCTGCTGCTAATGCTGCACTCAGTCTGAAAGTTCAGAGGTGTTAAACTAGGCTTTGTGGGATATAATGGGGTACTAACACAAGGTGGTTTTAAAATCACTGGAGTAGTATTAATCAGAAGCAGAGGAAGACCATTAGTGAATGAGTAATGAACCATGGTCAGCATACACTTGAGTCAGCATTCAATATTCTCAATGTGTAGGATATTGAACAAGGGAGCACTGTTCACTGCTGCAGTGGCTCCAAATCATTTAATTAAAAACCCTGTGATCAGCTCTGCCCATTACAGTCTCTCTAGAAGTGCCATTTAATGGAAACACCATAGGAGACATATGGAAATAAAAAAGCAAATTACAGAGGACACCTTTCCATTGGAAATATGGATGACATGGAATTAATTAAACCTTAAATTCATACTTGCAACTCATTTACAAGTCGTTAGTTCCAAGTGGCCTTAAAGCTGTCTTGCACTTTGCAGTGTGGCACTATTGTTAAAACTGCTGTATGTTCTTAATCTTTCTATTTCTTTTATGTCGCTTTATACAGCCACATCTACTGTCCTGAATTAATAAAACCAAAAAATCAGACCAGGAAATACTTGATCGTAAGGTTTGCTTTCTTACACAAAATTATAATCTATAATCTTAAATGGTATGCACCTCTTTGACTCATTGTTAACAGATGCATAGTGTAGCAGGGGAAGACAACAGACAAGTTTATATGCCTTGCAGTGTAACAGAGAGCAATAAGCTGGTTCTGCACCTGGCAAATCCAAAACCTTGCCGTTTCAATACTGGGTGGTGTTCCAGCACAGACCCTTTTTCGTCCAACAATACGTACACACAAACTAAAGAATGTGCATGAAGAAGTGTGAAGAGATTCTTCTGTATTACTGGCTGCGTGTTCGATGCTGCATTGGTGTCGCTATGCCTCAAAGCCCATTCAGGAATGGGTTTTCCATTCTCTAGGCACCCTTGATCCACACTGGCTGCCTAAGTGTTTTTCAAACATGGCACCGCAACTGGCACGCACTGCTTCTACAGCAGCCTCTGGAGTGGAACTTTCCACCTGTGCACCGCTGAGCAGTCCCACCCCCTGCTAATGAATGTACTTTATGTTATAATTCTTGGGAAACCAGCCAGCGCTGAAACGCTGGACTCGGTGATGCCCTGGTTTTGTACCACAGGTGGAAAGCAAACCATCTGACCGGCGCTCAACATTACAAAGGCGAAAAGAGAGGCAACCATGCCTAGTGTCTGCTCTTTTTGACCTGATTCACTTGTTCCCTCCACTCAGTTCCACTTCTGTTCACCTTTGGGATTCTCAGCACACTTGTGCTCGTTGTTTCCTGCCTCGCATCAGCTCCGGCTGTACAGATTTCTAGGAAACCACCAGCCAAAGCTTCTGCTTCCTGCCCATCGAGCTGAGGCTGTGCTGTCTTTGGCTTCAGCCTTTAAAACGCAGAATAATCCTTGTGTTGCAGGCTCCATAAGGAATAAGAGAGAACACCAGCCAAAAATGTAAATTCATTTCCTCCTGCATTACTTAAAAAAAAGCCAAACAAGATAAAAACACATTTGTTCTCTCTGCTTGCATGTAACGGGAAATCTTATGTACAGAATTAGTTTCAGTGTAAAAACAAGTCATCAGACAAAGTACGATTAGTGGGACAGATGTTCATGTCCATTTTTTATCTTGTAGTTTATATATACACTTACATCTGATTTTTATAAAGTATGTGAACATGATTTTTAGGTTTGTAAAATTACATTAATTATACTACATGAAGTACATTCCAAATTTATAATAGTAACCTCAAAAGCTGATAATACAATTTCAAGGTCCCTTAAGGTAATAAGTTAGTATTTCTAAAATAATTGTGACATTTTATAACTTTGTCAACATAAAATGGCAAGAGACTCCAAGAGAAAGCTGGACATATCTTCAAAACATCTGACAAGAGGAGAAAAGGCAATTATACACTTGACACATGCGAAATGGACAAAAATAAACTATTAGCACTAATCTTGGACCAGGTAGTGTTATT